CTACTACTATACTCACTACTAGGACTAGTACTCGTACTACTACTACTACTACTATTACTACTACTACTACTACTACTACTACTACTACTACTACTACTACTACTACTACTACTACTACTACTACTACTACTACTACTACTACTACTACTACTACTACTACTACTACTACTACTACTACTACTACTACTACTCTCCTCCTCTTGCCATTCCACCACGAGGAGCTGCGCGACGCCATCCAGCTGGCGCACAGCCGCGCGGCGCGGCGGAGCGAGGCAGGGGTGCCCCTACACAGTCTCTTGGCGATTTCGTGGGCCGTTTTCGTTTTGATTTCGTTCTGCAGCACAGGCGGACTGAAGACGAAACGAGGGTTCCTAAGGGCTTGACGACTTTTCGCCAATCGACGTGTGGGGATCGAGCCAGATAGATCCAGATAAATGCAGATAATTCCAGGCATATGCTGATATATCCGGGTAGATCCAGGTAGATCCGGGTAAGTCCAGGTAAATGCAGAGAACTTCAGGGACAGTTGGAGCAAATTGCGGCCGCTCTAGCGCGAGTCGAAGGACGGCATTCATGCCTTCAGCGAGAGGGGATCCGAAAACAATACGAAGACGAAAGACACTGCTTGGGACCACCCCTGGGCGCGAGGCGCAGGGCCACGTTGGCGGCGGGCAGGCCGTGCGGGTGCGCGGCCTCCAGGCCCGGGCCGACCTCAACGGCGAGGCCCCAGGGGCCGCCTAACGGTGCGGTGACCACGCGCAGGGGTGGGTGGGGGGAGGGGGGAGGGCTTCTCAGAAGCACCCCTGCTGCTTAGAAGGCGTGGGCCTTGCCTATATATGTAAGGCTCGCGCCTCCTAAGAAGCAGCCTCCTTCTAAGAAGCCCTCCCCCCTCCCTCCACCCCCTTGTGCGGGCCGCCGAACGGTGCGGTGACCACACCGCGTGGTTCCAGGCTGAATTCGGGCGTGTCCCTCTACAGGAGGAAGATTCAAGAATAGTCCAAAAATAATCAGGGGGCGATTGTTCTACCATTTCTTACAATTCATTTTTGGATTATCTTCGATGCGTCGTCCAAAATCCTCCTGTAGGGGGACATGCCCGACTCAATTTCAGGCGTCCTAGATAGGGTCGGAGTAGACGGGGTCGGAGGATCGCGCCGCATCGACAGTGCTTCGCCGATGCGGCACGATGTGGAGCCCAATTTTCTCCACGCCGACGTCGCCGATGCATCGCCGATGTCGATGTTGCATCGCCGGCGCATCGCCGATACATCGCCGATGTATCGGCGATGCGGCGCGATCTTCCGACCCCGGAGAGAACGCGTTTCACGGGCGCTTGCCTTGGGAACATTCCGCGGCGCGTTTCGAACCAGGGGGTGGACCCCCCCCCCAACTTTCGGCGCCGTCGATCAAAACCAGGGGAACTCCTCTCCCCCCCAACCCCCCCCTCCCGAACCCACTCCCCGCCCCCCCGTCTCCCAAGGGGGGGGGGTCCGGCGCTGGCGGCCGCCAGCAGCGCCCACGGCGGGGATGCAGCGACGATGACCAGAGGCAGCCCAAGGGGGGGGGAGGGGGCGGCGGCCAGCAGCGCCGGCGCTGGCGCCGGCGACGGCGGGGACGCAGCGACGATTACCACCACTACCACCACCGCCACCACTACCACCACCAACACCGATTCAACCCACCACCACCACACACCACACAACCACCTCACAACCACCACCACCACTACCACCACAGCCACCATCACCACCACAACCACCACCACAACTCACCATCACCACCAACAACACCACCACAAAAACCCACCACCACGACCACCACCACCGCAATCTACAACACCACCACCACCACCGCCACAACCATCACCTACTACTAGCAGTACAACCCACCGCCACCACCACAAACCACCCCACCACCACCACTTCCACCACCACCACTACCACCAGCACCACGTCCACAAACCACCGCCACCACCGCAACCCACCACCACCACAAACCACCACCACCACCACCACCACCAAAAACCACCACCACACCACCACCACACCACACCACACCACTACCATCAGAACTAACCACCACCACCACCGCAAAAACCAACCACCACTACCACCACCACCCACCACCACCACAATCTACCACACCACGACCACCACCGCCACAACCACCACCACTACTAGTGCACGACCCACCGCCACCACACCACAAACCAGCCACACCACCACCTCCACCGCCACCACCACCACCACAAGCTCCACCAAACCACCGCCACCGCCACAACCCACCACCACCACCACCACCCACCACCACACCACCACCAAACCACCACCACCACCACAACCCTTTCCCACCACCACAAACCACCACCACACCACCACCAAACCACCACCACCACTACCCATCACCACAACCACCACCACAACCTTCACCGCCACCACCACCACCGCTACCCACCACCACCACCGTCGTCCTCGTCGACGCTCCCCGCCGCCGCTGCCCGCCGCCGCAGGCGCCTGCGCAGGCGCCGGCGCCGGCCCAGAAAAGGAAATCGTCGTCCCCGCCGCCGCCGGCAGCCGCCGCCAACGCAAGCGCTGTCCCGAGGAGAGGGGAAGCAAGGGAAGAAGGGGGGGGGGTTCGAACTCCCCCCCCCCCTCTCCGTCACGGGAGGAGGGGGGCGGGGTCCGGTTTCAGCCCCCCCTCATCTTTCCAAGCGACCACGGAAGGCGCTCTTTCCGACTCCATCTACTGCGACCCCATCTAGGAGGCCTCTGAGGCCTCTAGTGGTGAGTCAGTGGGACTTCGGAAGTTGTCGGTATCAGAAATACAGTTATCGGATTGGGCGGATGGGGGCCGCCAAACGGCGCGGTGACCACACCGAGTGGTGAGTCAGACCCCCTCGGGCAATGAAGAAATCACGACGGGAGGTTTTTCGCCATTTTCGGCTCCTGGGGGCCTTCGCCGGGCCTCGGAGCCGTTAAGAAACAATCCAGGATGAAAAACCGGTCCCCGGGAATACGTCGAGACTTCCGGGGTCGACGTCGTGAAAACATCGTGATGTCGAGGGTTTGGGGAGTAAGTGGGGAATTCGGAGGTTGTCGGTATCAGAATGACTGTTATTGGGTGCGGAGGGTGGGGTGTGGGAGACATGATATGATCATCCATCTATCCGCGTATGTTGAAGGTGTTTTTTTGCACGCGCAGTCATGCCGTGGTATCTTCCCAACACCTTCATTCCAACATGATAGCTGTTTTCCTGGCAGTACTTGTATAAATGCTTACGACGTTTCTGAATCTTTTGGTGGTTTCCATCAGCGGCGCTTCGCCGAAAGTTTTCCTGGGGCGCCAGGATCGTCCCGGGCGGCCGCTGGAGACCCCGGGTACGGCCCAGAAACTATGCATTCGGATGGGTCCGCGGGGATTCGGGGTCACCGCGCGGTTTTGTGACTCGGGTCGTTGAGGACGTTTCGGGCGACTGGGGCTTCCAGGCTCCCAAAGCCTTGAGGTGACGGACCGCGCGGTGAGGTCGCTGGGGGTTCCGAAGTCACCACGCGGTCCGTCACCGCACAGCTTTGGTGCCCCGAACAGGTGGGCGTGGCACTGAGGTTCCTCGAGGGGGCCCAGCGGTGGCTGGTGCGCCTCGCGGGGGGCGACGGCAAGCAGATCAAGCCCGCGAACCTGGAGCCGCTCGGGGACGGCGGCGGCAAGGTGATGGCCTTCTGGGGGGATGCCCGCTGGTCTCGCACGCAGCTGCTGGGCGAGATCGCCCGGGGCCACTGGGGGCTGTGCAAGGCCAGCGTTTCCGAGCTCCTGGCGGACCCGCCAGACAGGTGTAGAGGGCAGAAAATCCACCCCGATCGTAGCCACCCCGACAAGCGGAGCCGTTGAGTAAACGCGCCCGAAGAAGGAATCGAACAGGGCAGGGCTGTGTAGTAAACGCCCAAGGCCGTTTAGTAAACGCCAATTGTCCGGTCCGGGTGCGGGTGGTTTCTCCTCCCTTAAAGGTGGCCCTCCCTGAAGGGCCGCCTGGCGTTCGCCCCCGTCACCGAAATGACGGAGGGTTTCCTGCAGCAGGCGCGCCGGGAGATGACGGTGCTGCGCGCGGCCCGGGAGGCGGGGCTGCACGTAATTACAGTCGGGCCTCCCAGATGGGGTCCGAGCAGATGGCATGTCGGAGGGTCGCGCCGCATCGCCGCTGCATCGGCGATGCGGTTCGATGTGGAGCCGATATTCGCCGCGCCGACGGCGCCGATGTACCACCGACATCGCCAGCGCATCGCCAATGCACCGGCGATCCATCGCCGATGCATTGGGGACGCGGCGCGATCCTCCGAAGCCATTTGCTCCTACACCGTCTAGGAGGCCTCCAGTACAGACTGGCCCTTCACCGGCGTGACCTGTGGTGAGCGGTGTGCGCGGCGTTCGCGGGGGGCGGCCCAGCGCAGGCGCGCAGGTCGCCACCCGCCCGGTCGCGCGCGGCTGTCTGCACGCCGCGCACCACGGATCTCTGCCAGCACGGGGTCATGCTTTCGAGGAAGCGTACGACTCGAGTTCGCCTCACGTTTGCGAGAACGCGTACGACTCGAGTTCGCCGGGGCTCGGGTTTGCAGATGCGTTGGTGAGGGGCCCGTCGTGGGTTTTGACGGCCTGGTCTTCGGGGGATGTTTGCAGCTGGAGCCGGGGTCACATTTCAATTGGGCCACCTCATGCTCTTGAAAGGCCTCGTCAGACCCTCCTCGATGATTGGAGGGAGACTTGCGGGTTTCTGGTGCATGGGACGTTTCGCGCTTTTTTTCGTAGCGCTCATCAGCCAAGTGCATGCGACGGCATACCTGCAATGGGATGGCGGCAACGAGCTCACTGAAGGCAATGAACGCACTGAAGGCAAGAGGAAATCTTGATGGCCCCGTCAGGCCAATCCGAGTCCCCCGAATCCGAGTCTTACGTCTCTTATGAGAAAAAATCCTGGAGGCCTCGCGCGGCGTGCAATAGTTGTATTATCTGGTCCACACGCCAGCTCCGTAAGCTATGGGTCGACGTTCGCGCGGCGAGGCTCCGGCGTCGTCGGTCCGACGTAAGTCCGACGCAATTCCGACCTAATCCGACGTGAACCCGACGTAAATCCGACGTACATCGGGTCTCAAGCTTCCGCGGCGGGGATTCATCCACACCCACCGCCTGGGGGATCGATCTTCGCGGACCTCCACAGGCGGTGGGTATGGACATACTCGGGCCCTGGAGGGCCGAAATAGATCCATATCCACCGCCCGCTGGGGCACCGGGACGTCGGTTCCCAGGCGGTGGATATGGATGAGTTCTTGCCTCGCAAAGTTGCCGCGCGAGGCCTCCAGGATCGTCCGCACGACCCGCATCCGCGTCTCACGTCTCCCCGGCTCCCGCGCCCGGCCCACAGGCGCAGGGCGTGGCCAACGACGACGACGGCTCCGACGACGACGACGACATGCAGGGCGCGCGGGGCGGCGGCGACGGCGGCGCCTGACGGGGCGCGCGCCCGCCGCCTCGGCGGCCGTGGCGCGGCGCTGCGATGCGCGTGGCGGCGGCGCTCGCGCGCGGGGACGTCGGGGGTCAGAGGAGGACTCGGCAGCAAATCGTGGGTGCCTGGCGTATGCCCGCTCAATGCTTCGGGGGCCTAGAGGTTGACGCCGGCACCAATGTCCGCAGTGCGACTCCAGCGACGACTCGCGTAGACTAGCGTCTGGGGGTGGATGAGATGGCGCCGATTCAGCGCCCGCTGGTTAGCGTCGATGAGCGTTGATTTGACGTCGATTAGCGTCGATTTAGCGTCGATGAGCGTCGATTCGCAAGAGCCGACGAGATGGTATGGGAGGCTCCCATGAGTTGCCACCGAATAGTGACAACATTACCCATACCGCTACCCTTTCCTCGTATTGACCTTTCTGGGCCTCTAGGGATGCCCTCGTAGCCACCGCTGGATTGGCCTTGTAAATCTGGTCAGAGCGCACCCCAGGAGAGGTCTGGGGCGTGGCGGTATAGGTATATTTGCTCTTCCCTGCTGTTGAGCGTGATCGGGCACTTCAGACGGGCGAGTTGAGACAGTAGCTGGCCTTCGGGGTGCCCCCTCGTCGCCACGGCTGGGCGCAGCTCAGGAAGCTCGTGTGTTTGAACTCCAGGAGGGGTCAGGGGACCGACTTTGAGCTGCCGTTGTCTCAACTCGGCCTTCTCCGAGCAACGCGCTGACTCGACCATCGTTTCGAGTGTAGGACCATGGGCGCGTGTCCCGCTTGTGTACAAATTCCGCTGGCGAGGCGCCTGCGTTAGGATACGGGATACAGATCAGAGACCTCACTGCAGCGACATGTTTAAACGCCTGTCATCGTGAAAGCAAAAAGGTTGATTGTTACATCTTCGATTCGGACTCTTCTGCAGTGCAGTCCATGTGGTGCAATCCAGGTTGAACGCATACGCGCGTGTCCACATTCAATGCTCGTGCAAATCTGTCACCCTTCCCTCGTGATCTTGTTGGCAAAACCAGCTGGGCGGCGACAGCGGATATGACGGTGAGATGTCATGATATTCATATTTCTAGTGGGGGAATTATCGACGATGACGATGATTCTGGAACTGATATTTGTGGCGATGATTCTGACGGTTGCAACGATGACGCTGGCGATGATGGAGACGATGGTTTTGAACAGGATGACGAGGAAGTGTGCGCACAGAATCTCGACGCGGTCGAATACACTGACGATGGCCAAGGTGGTTTCGACGATGATGATGACGACGATCGTGATGATATCGGTGACGGTGTCAATTGCGACGCTGTTGATCATGACTGACCAGGCGGCCCAGCAGCTGCCGATTCGGGGTCAGCCCATCTTGAAGGGCCCGAGGGCCCACACGATCTGCTCTTGAACCCGAGAGCTATCCAAATGCAAGCATGCTTCCCCCCTGAACGAATTCGAGATGATTGGCCTCACGACGGGGCTTGCATGGCCAGCCTGAGCCACGGTCTCTTCTCCAACCTCCGATCCTCCCAACGCTCAGCATGCAACGAGGGCATCGCCAGCTGTCTACGGATTTCCCTGGACTGCGCGCACATGTGTACAGCACCCCGTGAAGCACAGCTCCTAGCGAGCTCTTTAGGGAACAATCGAGCTCTCTGCGACGGATCATTTTCTCTTTAAAACCTGTTGCTCAACAGTTTGGTCCGGATGTCGAGGAAATTGTGCGAATGCTAACGAGGATGGTAAGGAAGTGCGCGCTGGCAGAAATTCCGAAATCCTGCTTCATTTCCACTCGGCAAACCAATGGGTGATCGTACATGCGTATGTTCCTCAAGGCCTCTGTATTGAAATGTTTCGAAACCGTGCGTGCTGGGATCTATTTCGACGAGAGCTGTCGGAGACGCTCGCGTGTAATGTCGTCCGCACGGTATTATGAAGAAATTGGCCAACGCGCGGTGGTTTTTGTACTTTACGGCATGCTCCCGCGAGTGGCCAGTGTGGTCTCGTTTGACATACCGGAGCAATTTCCGGTGTTCTGACGGTTTTAAATGAGCGCGCGCAGATTTCATGCATTTTCTTGAAGACACAAAGGCTCTAGAGTTTGAGTGGTGATGTCTTGAAGTGGTCTGGAGCACATGGATTTTACCTGACCTTCACGTGTTCTCCCGCCGGCGCGCGCGTACGCCCCGCATCGTATGTGTTGTAAATGGCTCCTGGACAACAGTGTTTTGAATCAGCGCATGTGCTGAACGTATCAATATGCGGGAGGGATTTGGGCATACCAGGTAGGATTCGGTAATAGGACGATCGTTCGGATCAGGTAAGATTAGCCAATAGGACATACGCGCAGGGGCGCCATTAACCTCAGCCTCGGTGGGTGGTATGTTCGTGTTCTGTTGAACGAGAACCTGTGTCGTGGAATCCATGCAGCGCGTGCTTTGCGGCACAAGCAATCAGCCGCAATTGGTCAAGCCACGAATGAGTTGGCAAATCCACTTATCGCACAAAGACTCCACACTCCCACCCGCAACTTGACTCGCAGAACCCCTTCGGCCACGAGTGCGGTTGCTTGCTGGCACTTGTCAGCGCTCCTCCGCGGCCGTGCCGGCGCGCGCGCCCGCTCTTGCACAGCGCGACCATTTGGTTTGGCACGAGCGATGCGACCGCGATGGCGCTTACCGATGGGAGCTGCCTAGCGCGGGCGCTGCAGTGCGGGTCGGTGGCCTTGGCGGGCGCGATGTCACGATGACGTCGACAGCGGCGGCCGCGATGATGAGGATTGCGATGGTGGTGGCGATGGTGATGATGACGACGGCGATGCCGATGACGGCGCCGGTGCGGGTGGCGACGATGACGTTGATGATGCCATTGCGTCGGTGTTGAAGGCGATTGCGTGGATGATGGCGGCAATGGCGGCGATTGGCGATGACGACGCCGCTTGTGATGCGATGGCGCTGATGCGAGTGATGCGGCAGCGCGCGCGGAAAGAAAAACAATTCTTGATTCTTCCCCAAACAGAGCTTGCCTTTGTAGGGGTCCTAGCGGATTCATATGGTTAGGTAAGGTTTGCCGCCGATTTTCGCCGCACGCCCGGGTGCCCAGGTGCCGGGGGGGGCCCGGGGGTGAGGTTGCCGCCGGTTTTCGCTGCACGCCCGGATGCCCGGGGGGTGTCTGGGGGTGCCCGGGTGCCCGGGGCGTGCCCGGGGGTGCCCTAGCCCAATTGCCCTGTAGCCCTACAACTCTACAGCCCTATAGCTCTATAGCCCTATAGTTCAATAGCCCTACAGCCCTATAGCCCCCTGGCCCTATAGCCCTGATTGGGTTTTCCTCCGGTATCATCATGTTTTCGGCAGAGCTCTATCATGAAATGGTGCGAGCGCCAACGGTTTTGCCTGGATTTCGACACGCCCGCGGCGGAGCGCACATGTGGCTCGCATTGTTTTATTCGATGTGGACGCGCGCGCTGGGCGCATGCTAAACCAACGCGGATGCCTGGGTTGTGGGTTAGAGTCCTCGGGGATGCTTTCTGGTGTATGTTCGGAACGCTCTCGGGGAGGTCTGGGGGGCACTTTTGGCGCCTCATGGGAGCGTCTTGGGGGCCTCTTGAAGGCCTTGGGGGTCTCTTGGGGGTTCCTGCGGGTCTCTTGGAGGCCTCTTGGGGCCTCTTTGAGGCCTCTTGGGGGCTCCTTGGGGCTTCCTGGGGGCTTTTTGTGGTCGAGGGCTCGAAACGTCTGCTCTGGTTCCCCGTTTGGGCTCCCTCTTGGAGCGGTCTTGGGCCGTCTTGGGGCCCTCTCGGTGGCTTCTTGGGCCGTCTTTGGGCGATCCTGGGGGCCTCTGGAGCCGTCTTGGAGTGTCGGGAAGTCGAAAAGGTGAGAGCGCTCAAATCTTCGAAATTCCATCGGCAAATCAAATGTGTTTGCCTCGTGGGGCCCTCTTGGGAGTGCTCCCGGAGGCCTCATGGGGCGTCTTGGAGGCCTCTTGGGTCGTCTGGAGGCCATCGTGGGCATCTCGGGGCGATCTTCGGGAGTCTCCGACCCCTCTTGGACCGTCTTTGGGGCCTTGGGGCCCTCTTGGCCTACTTTGGGGCCGCCCCGGGGGATCCGGCATCCTCAGAGGGAGTGTGTCGGGGTATTTTTCGACCGGGGACTGCAGGGGCCGCCACGCGCGCGCGAACTCGAAACGTTGCAAACGTGTTGCCAGAGATCTTGGCACCCTTATGGCGCGTTGGGCTGGCAACCTTGTCAATTAACTTACGGGTGTTACGTTCAAGTGTTTGCACTAATGTGCTTGGTGTGATGTTTGATGCTCGAATCGTAAAATGCTTAAATAGTTTATTGCTTGCAACACGACTGTTTTTGGAGCACTAAATGTTTGCAGCACGAATGTGTTTGGTATGATTTCGCCTTCCCCGCGAGGGTACAACCCCGCGCCGGCCTACAATATTCGGAGGACCCTGACCCCCGACGTCATGATTCTTCATGGCGTCGACCCCAGAAGTCTCGACGCATTCCCCGGGACAGGCTTTTCCTCCTGAATCGTTTTTGACGGCGCCGAGGCCCGTCGAGGGCTTTCAGGGGCCGAACATAGCGAAAAACCTCCCGTAGTGATTTTGTTCGTTACCCGAAGGGGTCTGGGGACGACGACGACGACGACGACGACGACGAGAACACGAGCACCAAGGAAGGAACGAACGACCAGACGCCAGGGGTGAGAAAAGAAAGACACAGGACCCGAGCCCTCTATGGCCGGGACAATGCTCGTCGGAGCCTGGCGGCAACGGCTGGATGGCCCGTGAAACGAGGAGGGGAGGAATAAACGAAGAGGAGGAGGAGGAGGAGGAGGAAGAGGAGGAAGAGGAGGAAGAGGAGGAAGAGGAGGGAGAGGGAGAGGGAGAGGGGGAGGACGGAGGAGGAAGAAGGGGGGAACAGGCGAAGGAGGAAGATCAGGAGGAGGAGGAGAAGGAGGAGGAAGGCGAAGGGGAGGGGAGCAAACACGGCGAGTCGGCACAGGCATGCAGGAAGACAGAGCGAGGGCGGCAGAGGCAGCGGCAGGCACGTGCGCGCGTGTGTGGGGGGTCTCGTTGTATTTGCTGCAAGGGGCTGTTGAAGAACAGCGACGGCGGGCAACAATTTGCCATGAATTTGCAGTGCTCCAGGGGGGGGCGAGAAGTCTGATCCGGGGCGGGTGGTGGAGTCTATTTCCCAACCATCCTGTGGTGCTGGGTCCTCGTTTGGAAGAGAAATCCCCTCTTCCTTCCCCTGGTGTTGGCCCCGCGTTCTCCTCCTTCCTTCTCCCTTCCTCCTCCCCCTCTTCCCTCCTCCCTGCGCTTCCCCCACCCAATACACCGCTTCGTGGCCCCATAGGGAGCTCCACCGAAGGTCTCAGCGGCGGAGCTCGCATGCGGTTCCTTCGCCCAGTACATCACTCCGTGGCCCCACAGGGAGCTGACCGAAGGTCCCAGTGGCGGAACTCGCATGGGGTTCCCACGCCCAGTTCAGCGCTTCGTGGCCCCATGGGGCGTTCCACCGAAGGTCTCAGCGGCGGAGCTCGCATGCGGTTCCTTCGCCCAGTACATCGTTCTGTGACCACATAGGGAGCTTCACCGAAGGTCCCAGTGGCGGAACTCGCATGTGGTTCCTGCGCCCAGTGCAGCGCTTCGTGGCCCCATGGGGAGCACACATTTCACGCGCTTCGTGGCCTCATAGCTGATTGGCGTGGTCCTGGACTGCGGCCGCCACGAGGTCGGGAACGGCAAGAAGGAGGACGACGATTGGTGGCTGGAGCTCTACGCGCTGCTCTCGCGCGCCACGCGCCACGAGGACCTCCTGCTCATGCGGGCGCCGTGGATCAAGTTCTTCGTGGCAGGGCCGCTGGAAGGCTTGC